TCTGAAGTAGCATTAAATGCCCAACTTCAACCCATGCACTTTAGTGTATGCCTTGCAAACCCAATAAGTTCAGTTGTTTATTATTATTATTATTATTATCATTATTATTATCATTATTATTATCATTATTATTATTATTATTATCATCGTCATCATCATCATCGTTATTATTATCACCATCAGCATTACTATTACTATTATTACTGTTACCTTTATTGTCAGTGCACAACATGTGTACTATGAGATTGGCTGAGCCTCCCTTCGTGTACCCCCCCAACACAACTCACAGTGGGGACAGAAGTCCCTCACCAAGTCCCAATCTTATTACACTATGTGACCTTGTTGCACAAGGGGACTCCCAGAGGCCGCCCGAGGAATTCCTCCCTTTCACCCGCTGGGCTGCCTCGCTTCCCGTGCTCTGCCTCTCCCTCTCTCTCCGCACGCAGATCCTGGCCCGCGTCTTCAGCCATGCCGCCCTGGAGGTCTACCTGCCCCCAATCCAGCGCCTGGTCAGCTGGGAGCTGCGCGGTTGGCGCCACCACCCGGGACCCATCGCTGTCTACGCCTCGGCCAAGGCTTTGACTTTCCGCATCGCTGTGCGGATCCTGCTGGGCCTCCGGCTGGAAGAGGAACCGTTCGAGGAGCTTTCCAGGGCCTTTGAGCAATTGGTGGAGAATCTCTTTAGCCTGCCGCTCAACGTCCCCTTCAGCGGATTGAGGAAGGTACCTGAGGGCTGGGAAGGTGGGACAGCCCCCCCCCCCCACACACACACACCCTTTCCTCAATGGCTCTGGAGTTCTACTTAATCAGAATAGAGCTGGAAGGGACCTTGGAGGTCTTCTAGTCCAACCCCCTGCTCAAGCAGGAGACCCCCTCACCAGGGACCCCCAAAATTGGCAACTTTAAGACTTGTGGACTTCCAACTCCACAAGTCTTAAAGTTGCCCAAGTTTGGAGAGCTGCCTTATGCATGTGCAGAGTGCCTTGCCTTCCACTGGCAGCAAGACTTCCAAATGGCGGGCAGTGGGTGTCTACTTCCCCAAAGGCAGAAATGGAGAGCGCTGGGTGGAGATTTTAAAATGGAGGATGCCCTTAACTCGCAGGGGTCCCTAAACTTGGCAACCTGAAGACTTGTGGACTTCAACTCCTAGAATTCTAGCTGGCTGGAGAATTCTGGAATTCTGGGAGTTGAATTTCACACGTCTTCAAGTTGCCAAGTTTAGGGACCTCTGCCCTATACAGAAAAAGTGACTGTCCAGTTTCTTCTTAAAAATCTCCAGTGATGAAGCACTTACAACTTCTGAGGGCAAGCTGTTCATTGTCCTCACTGTTAAAAATTTCTCCTTAGTTCCAGTTGCTTCTTAGTTGCTTCCATGGGAGTCAGGCGGGTTGGGTGGGCTCCTTTTAGGTTCCTTTAAATTTGCTTTAACATGGATAGATTTGTGGCACAGGTGAGATGCCGGCATGCAGCTTGCAAAAGGACGCAAAGTCTTCCAAATAGAAAATAGAGTTAATCATCCTCTTAACATCATCCTCTTGCCTTTCCCTGTGAATTCCCTGGCATGCAAAACCAACACACAAGAAAAAACAAAGTATTCTTCAAACTCACAAAGACTCATCTCCAACCTTTCCAAATCTCCAGTTGAAGTTGGATTAATAGATCTAGAGAACTATGATCAAGCTGCAGCCCAGGAAATGCTAGATTGATGGAAGGCTAGAAGGGTGCCTTAAGTTTATCCTGAGCAACAGTGGAGGGTCCAAACTGACAATGGGCTAGATTCAAATACATTATTCCTCTATGCCCCTCACCGCACTTGGGCTGCTAGGCAGATTTCACAAGAGAAACCCTTCTACCCACACAACACTTGCTCTCTCCTTCCACACGTTGAATGTGAACACACTTGTGGTTGTTGCAGGGTCAGCCAGATGTTTAGATAGGATTTGACATTTTTTATCCACCCATTTTGTCCTTCCCAAAGACCCAGGGAAGGCAGATCTAGTTTGATAGAGTCAAAGACATTAGTGCAGAATATAAGCTGTTCTAGGTAATGCTGCCTTTTGCACCTGACAGATGGGTGATTTTGTCAATGCTGATGTTTGTTCAAGTAGTGAGCAGGTAATTGGTTTGTCTTTTTCTGGTTCTGCCCCTTTTATTGGATCTTTCATTATTAGGACAATTTGCTGACCAATTGTTGATCTTCCTTTCTCTTTTCACCACTATTTCTTGAACTAGTTGTTATAAGTTCTTTCATTTCAGCTTTTTTTTATTCTTATCCACATCCTTTATCCAAGCTGCATTTTTGTTGTCTGGAGATTCTCGGTCACCCAGGTCATGGTTGTCCCAAAGATGCTTTTTCTTATTCAAGAAGCTTCCTGGATGAGAAGTGAAACATCTTCAAAGAAAAGCCAGGAAGTCTGATTGATTCTTGGAAAAGCCCCTTTGGGACTGCATTCTTGTGTATTTCTTTGGGTTGTTCCATAGCTGTTCCCATATTTTTTTCTTTGTTGTTCATTGCAGTCTGTCCACTGAAGGATGGTAAAAACATTTCTAATTCCACTGAATGGAGGTTTTGCCTATAACGTGCAATTCAAGTTTCATATCTGCTCCTCCTCTTGGATATAGTGTAGCTGTTGTTTGCTGCTTTATTCTTTCCAGTGCTTCTTGATCTTCTTCCTTGTGAATAGCTTTTTTTTTTTAATTTTCTTGTTCCTCTTCTTTTCTTTTATCTGTTATAGCTTGCTTGCATCTGATCTTAGCTTGCTGATCCTATTTGATCTTTTATTTTGGTACTGCACTGCTTGGCTTTTTTCTTCTTTTTTTTTGCTGATATTGCATGCCAGGTATTCAGTCATAACAGCAGCTGTGCTGTGCATTAGTCGGTTTGTTTCTTGCAATGAGCTGGTTCTTTTGTTTGATGTTACAGTATTGGCACTTTATAATACTTATGCTACTAGCTGGTTCTGTAGAGCAAACTTCAATGCAGGCAACCTTATGTTGTTTTTGTATCATTCTAGATGCTCAGTTATTCTTTGCTTTGCTTCTTTAGAGGATTTTGTTCCTTCTGAAAGGTCAGAGTAATGGGTGCCTGGTTTGGGATTGAAAATAATTAAATAGCTATTTGGGCTTCCATTATGGTTGACTCCCCTTGGTTTTCCTTCACAGTTTCAGCTACTTCTGGCAGGGCTTTGATTTCTTTGCCCTTGGAGAACCTTTGCAGTTCTCCCAATTCCACTTCTGTGAAAAGAATGTTTCACATTATTTTCCCTGTTGTTATGGTTTGGTCACACTGTCAGCCAGATGTTTAGACTGGGTTTAGCATTCCAGCTATTGAATCCTTTCCAAGGACCTGGGATAGGAAGATGATGTTGGTTGATGGTGTTACAGACATAATTGCATGATGCAAGCTGTTCCAATAAAGCTGAATTTTGCAATTTTGGTGATTTTGTCAGTGCAGATGATGTTCAAGTGATGCCCCACATGTTTGGGGATTTCACTATTACTATTGGTATTGTCTTTACTTTCTTTTGTCATAGCTGTTCCACTTCTATTTGTTAGGTCGTTGTATTATGTGATTTTCTTCAGTTCTTTTCTATTTTAGTTTTTCTTATAAGCCAATTTGGTCTCCTCTGTATTCACTAAGCTTTGATGTCCTATTCTCCTCCTCCTCCTCCTCCTCTTGTTATTGTGATTGCTATTATTGTTACATTTTTTTCATTAAACATGACACTCAGTCAACTGAACATTTAAAAATGTAACACAAATATTGACTGGCTCTGATACGGGTTGCTGCCAGCATCCTAGGTATCAACCAAGTATCATCATCATCATCATCATCATCTCCTTCTTCCCCTTCTCCCTCCTCCCTCCTCCTCCTTCCTCCTCCTCCTCTTCCTCCTCCTCTTGTTGTTGTTGTTTGTTGTTGTTGTTGTTAATCTTTGGTGAGATTCACAGCTTTTGGGGCTGGTTGGTAGCTCAACAGCTCGAGTCCTAACCAAGGACCTAGGCACTGTTAAGGTAGCATCGGAGGATATAAACTGTTCCAAGTAGGGCAGGTTTTTTTAGAATCGGGGTATTCAATGAGTTTGATAAATTCAGAATTTCCAAATACTGAGGTAGCCCATTGGCTCCAAGGGCTCCAATTACAATTGGGATAACACACGATTTCTTTTTCCAAAGTAGCTCAACTTCAGTTTGTAAGTCCCGGTACTTCTGTGATTTTTTTCTTGCTGCTTGTCTTCAATTCATGCATTGCCAGATATTGCAATGTCAATGAACCAGACCTTTTTCTTTTCAACTATTGTTATGTCAGGTGTGTTGTGGGCCAAGTGCCTGTCAGTCTGAATTCTGAAGTCCCACAAGATCTTGACTTCCTCATTCTCCAGAACCTTCTCAACCTGATGTTCCCAGTAGTTGTTACTATACTCAAATCCAAACTTTTGGCACAGTTTCCAGTGAATGATTTTAACAATTCGGTTATGGCATTCTAGATAGTCAGTTTGTAAAATTTTGCTGCACCCACTGATTAAATGGTGGTTGTTGTTATTAGTATTATTTTTATTATGTTCCATTCCTGTTCTAATCTACAGCTTAATTAGGATAGGATCTGCTTTGGGCTATTTGTATGCCACTCTCTTTCCATGGTTTCCCAATCCTCCCACCCCTATTATTGGAATGTGGGTAAAGCCCAGTTCAGAAAGGAAACCCAAACAACAGTTCATATACCATTCAGGCTGCAATGCTATGATGGCTGGTTGTTTCGTGGTGATTCCAACATCCTGAAAGAGAATGGCAAAAAAATAATAATCATCTTGTTTATTGGGATTGGCACGATTGCAAATTAGGACACCACTATTTGCAGTAATTTAGAACAGATGCAATACAGGCAGGATAAGCCGATGCCACAAGGACAACAAATTTTGCCCAGGCACTTGTGCTAACCTTAAGAGAGGCAGAGCGTGGAGAAAGCTTATGGAAGCCACATCAGCTTTTTGTTACAGGACCACAACTTGTGGAATAAGGACGTTCTGCCCAGGTTACCTAATTCAGCAGTGGCTTTATGTGAAAGGAGTGGTCTTGAAGGCCAAAGCCACAGCATCTTTCATTTCTATTTTTTGTAAGGGAATTAATAAAATAATTTGATTTTATTTGAATGGACCTTTCATGCAGAAGCTCAAACCTGTCTATATAGTACACTCTTTTTCAATTTCCCCACTGAACTTGACTGACTGGGCTGTGTTCCCAAGACATTATGACCCAATGTGAATTTAGTCATGGTCTAATCAGCTAATTTGGCTTGACACACTATAAAAGCATGATGTGTTGGGTTTGTCACAAGGGATTAGTGAGCTAATTTATGTTTCGGGGTGTCAGTGGCGATGACTTGCCCAATTCACCCACCAAATTTCCATGGCTGTCAATAAACCTGAAACTGTGTCTCTTGATCTTCATCTACACTTAGGTTAGCCTTCAGCAAATTATGGGAACAAAGCCACAAGCTCTCTTGATCTATCCACGACCCAAAAAGACTAGTTTTTCAGTTCTTCTGTAGCATCATTTATATTTATTTATCTCAAGAGTACATTCCTGTGGGTTCAGTAAGACTTCATTTGCTTATTTTGTGCCTTCAAGTCAGAATTGACACCTTGTGACTGTCTGGACTAGTCTAGCAATTTTCTTGGCAAGATTTCATAAGTGGTTTGCCATTGCCTGCTTCCTAGGGCTAATAGGGAGTGATTGGCCCGAGTGACAAAGCCAGCTTGCTATGTGCCAAAGGTGGAACTAGAACTCAGGGTCTCAAAGTTTCTTGCCTCTAACAGGGCTTAGTTGTTTTCCTCTCAGCCAAAAGAAAAAAAACAAACCCCTCTAGCTTACTTGAGCTTTTACTACTTGGAGGAGGCAATTGTCATGTCCCTGTTAGAATCTGACTCCAAGGGAGAGGAGGAACAGCCTACAGGGAGTGGGAGTATGGCTTCAGAAGTTGTGGAGAAAACGGGGGAAGGGCACTGGCCATCTGGGTATTCAGAGGAAGACTCAGGCCCATCCCCTTTTCATCCTAGGGCACTCAGGGAAGACCGGATAAGAGAGAAACGTGAATGGAATGGTCTACAGGGGAGGAAAGGGCCTTGATCCCCTTCATGGGCTGCAGCTGTGAGGACTGTTTAAAAGGACAAACTGCGCATGGGCTAGTGCTGGAAGCAAATCGTGAAAATATTTCTAGTCTGTCAGTTCTTAGCTGACTTCTGGTGTCCTTCCCAGTGTGTGTATTTCGATATCTGTGGACGTCTTCAAGCCCTTATCCTGCCTTGTCTTATTAATTCTTCAGTGTGGTTTGTGTTGTTGTTTTTTCTATTTATAATTTATATGTATTTTGAGTTTGAACGGAAGTTCTTCCTTTTCGCAACTGTTTGTGGGGGAGTTTTTTCTCCAGTCAATGATAATTGGACCTTTAAAGCCAAGTTGAAGGAATTAAAGGGACTTCACCTGTTTTTGTGACTTTGTTGCTTTTGTATCCCACCCTGGGTCATCACAGCAATATAAATAAAGTTCTGGAACTTTCTAAGCAGTCCACTGCTTTCTTCCTGGAACCTCAAGGTGTTCCTTTTTTCTGAATGAGTTTCTGAACCAGCTTTCTGTGCTCTTTATCTTTGAACCACCTTCTGTTCCCCAGGGCATAAAGGCTCGGGATTTGTTACACACTTATATGGAGAAAGCCATCTTGGAGAAACTGCAGAGAAAAGACCCTGACGCCCATCGCGATGCCCTAGATTTTATCATCAACAGCGCCAAAGAACACGGCCAAGATTTCACTATGCAGGAATTGAAGGTGAGGATTTTTATGCTCCTGGGGGGGGCGGGGGGGGAGTGTCAGTGGTTTCATGCAGGATTTGACAGTAGCCCCTGTTGGACCATGGTGTCGCGGCTGGTGTGATTTTGCAGGATGTCTGGGTGGAAATATCTTTAATGATACTAGGGATTCCATGGTCACTTGTCCCAGGGTACGGTAGCTTCCTAGAATACAAAGATTTGTCAGCAGTTGGTTTGTGTGTGAATAGAATAGAATAGAATAGAATAGCTGGAAGGGACCTTGGAGGTCTTCTAGTCCAGCCCCTTGCTTAGGCAAGAAACCCTATATCATTTCAGACAAATGGTTATCCAATTTCTTCTTAAAAACTTCCAGTGTTGGCGCATTCACAACTTCTGGAGGCACACACACACACACACATACACACACCCAGACAGCACCTGATTGAGGCTTTAGAGACCATACAGGTAGCCTTCACTTTCTGACTGCAATGCGACCATGACCTGTGACTTCCTGCTGGCTTCCCCATTGACTTATGGGAAATTGGCTGTGAAAGTTGCAAATGGCAATCACATGAAAGAAGGTTGCTGCAACCATCATAAATGCAGACCGGTTGCCAAGCCATCAAATTTCTATCACATGACTGTGATGATACTACCATAGCTGCAATTGGAAGGACCAGTCATAAATCTCTTTTCCGCCACTGTTGTAACTTTGGTCGCTGAATAACTAGTCAGTAAGTGGAGGACTACCTGTATACCTATTTTGCTTTATTCTGCATTCTGTTAGCATGAGTAGCGATAACCTGGCTCAAATAGCAGAAAGTCAACTTGATCTTGTGCCATTCAATCCAGGGCATATTTTCTAAACCGTTTTAACCTCAGTGAGCTGTTTCTGCGAGGAATAATGGCTATTTAAATAAATGTGGAAATGCTATAAATGCTATGAAATATGTAAAGCTTTGATTTTGAGATTTGATTAAATCTCCTAATTGAATTGAGTTTCTGAACTAAATTGGAAAGTCATATTGAATCGTCCAATCCAATGCCTTTGAACTGACTCAATGTGACAAAAAAACAACAGGTAAATGGTGTGAATTGAATTGGGTTGGAGCTAATCCAAACCCTCGAATACTAGGTTACATCTAGATTAGACTACTATCATGCACTCTACTTGGAAATTTTCCTGAGGTAATTCAGTTAGTACTGGATATAGTGTGGGGGGAAAAATCCCAAAGACTTTTGCTCTTAATGGTTTCTATTCTTCTCACTCACACTGGCTATTTCTTTTTGAGCCCTGATTGAAGGTGTTCCTATTGACGCTGAAATGCAAGCCAATCAGTATTGTTCCTTCCAAATATCTTCAGCTTCAGCTACATACCCAGACACACAATGCCACAAAAATCCTCTCTTGTTCTTGTTTTTCTCCTCTTCTGCATTCATCCTTAAGTACTTTAAAGGAAGGGAAAGAAAGAGAAACGGGGAGAAAGGAAAATTGAGGGGACTTTGGAAGAAGTTCAGAGAAGAGCAACTAAGATGATCAAAGACCTGGAGACTAAACCAAAGAAGAAGGGCTGCAGGTTTTGGGTCTGGCTAGCCTAAAGAAGAGAAGAATTGGGAGTGACAGGATAGCAGTATTCCAATATTTGAGAGGCTGCCACAAAGAAGAAGGGGACAAGCTATTCTCCATAGCACCAGAAGGCAGGAGAAGAAACAATGGATGGAAACTAATCAAGGAGAGAAGCAACCTGGAATTAAGGAAAACCTTCCAAACAGTGAGGAAAATTAAACAGTGGATTGATTGCCTTCAGAAATCATGGGTGCTCCATCACTGAAGGTTTTTAAGAAGAGACTGGACAATCACTTGTCTGGGACGGTATAGGTTCCCTGCTTGAGCAGGGGGCTGGACTAGAAGATCTCCAGATTCTATTCTATTCTATTCTATTCTATTCTATTCTATTCTATTCTATTCTATTCTATTCTATTCTATTCTATTCTATTCTATTCTATTCTATTCTACCCTACCCTACCCTACCCTACCCTACCCTACCCTACCCTACTCTCATCCTATCCCATCCCTTTCCATCCTTTTGGATTGTCCTGGCACAGTTCATGAATATAGATACAGAAATGCAAGAAAAAAACGCAGATGTGTGCACGTACACACACACGCGTGCACACACACACACAAATGTAAGTCCCCGCCAAAGTCCAGCAAGTGTTCAAGTGGAAGTCCCAAGGAGCTAAATGTTGCAGAAGGTTCATCAGGCAGTCTAGGTCCAGTATTAAAAATAATGAAGTTTCAAACCAAGGCACACATGATGGAATCTGGGTACAGAAGCAGCTGCTGCCAACAAAGAGGCTTGAGTTTGCTGCTCGTCTTAAATAGAAGCAAACCCAGTGTTGCTTGTTAGGAAGGGGAAGGGCTCCTTTCTTGCAAGGAGCCTTAAAGAGCAGCTTTCCTCTGCTGCTCTAGACAGAGGGAACCCTTGCGGGAGTCAGGGTGTGTTGTGGTTAGCCGGCAGCAGGTGCGAACGGCGGAGGAGAGCGAGGACTCAGATGAGGGGCCAGGACCATCAGGGACTGGACTGCTGCCTTCAGAGATTGTGGGGGCTGGCAGCAGCGATGAGGAGGTTCCCGAGGAGCCTGTGCCAAGTGCACGTGCATGAAGGATTGCTCGGAGGAAAGAGCATCTGCAGCAGCACAGGGCGACTCAGGAGTAAGGCTGCAAGGTAATGGCCCCTCCCTCAAGACGATAAAAGCCAGGTTTGAAAAAACGTTCTTTGCAGAAAGGAAAGAAGCTCTAAGGATCCAGCATTATGTGTAGAGACTCTGGCTTATCTGAATAATTCTGTCAAGACTTTTCTGGTTGGACTAATTGGCTGCAAGCCATCTTTTATCTCTACAAAGAAGTTTATTTGTAGATTAAAGCTGTGAAGGTTTGAGTTGCTGAGTTTGTTTTGAGATTTTCTTGCTGGTAGCAGGGTTGGGTCAGAACAGGGTGATAGTATTTGCAGCTCAGTCTCCGCATCTCCAGAGACTGGTAGCAACTACTGTCTACGCCTTGCAGCTCCTTGGGCAGTGGCTCATCCAGCAACTTGAATCGGCTGCTCATTGTTGAGCTGGCCATCATAAGTACAGGAAATGTGGTGAGTATATTGCCAAGGGCTTTCAGAGCGCCAACATTTTGATACGTGTTCAACAGCAACTTCTAGAATCCTCAAAAGTCTTGATCTAGATTTTTAAGTTAGCATTTTTTTTCCTGTAAAAGACTGAGTAACATCTAATTTAAATTCTGATGGCAAGGTATCTGAGAAAGGACAAGAAACATTCAGTTTATTAATAGCATGCACAATTTATTTATTTGTTAAGTTTATTTGTTTATAGATGATATAACAGATATAATAATAATAATGATAGATAATAGATAGATAGATAGATAGATAGATAGATAGATAGATAGATAGATAGATAGATAGAATAATAAGAATAATAGATAGGCCTATCTCTAACCCTATAATAAGAGGAACACTCTTCTAATCCTTATATTTCCATGGCTTGCCTTACAGGAATCTGCAATTGAACTAATATTTGCAGCTTTCTTCACCACTGCCAGCGCCACTACTTCTATGATCTTACTCTTATTGAAACACCCATTGGTCATAAAAAAGATCCAGCTGGAACTGGCCTCCAATGGACTCACTGGGCAGTGTCAGTGCTTTGGAGCTGAGGATTTTCTAACAAAATACCCATCTGGCCAAAAAACTTCGCCTGCACATGAGAAGGAAAACAAAGAGGGTGACTCCAACGTGCCTCTTCCACCCAGATTGGGAAGAGAACAAGGGCGAGAGACCGCAATGGAAGAGAAAGGACCTAATATAAACATCATGGCTAAAGGGTTCCAGGATATTGTCCATGGAACTACAAATGGTCCTAGCTCATTGTCCAGACTGGAAGAAACAGGCCAGTTCTTTAGCAGTCTGGAAAGATCTGAGTATTGTTGCCACCCTTACTTGACCCTGGAGAAGTTGAATAGTCTGCGCTACTTGGATTGTGTCATTAAAGAAGTTCTCCGTTTGCTGCCCCCAGTATCTGGAGGGTATAGGACAGCCTTACAAACCTTTGAGCTAGATGTGAGTTGAGTGGCTTGCTCTCTAACCTTTTGGGGGAAGTGTGAGGAACTTGGGTTTACCTGGATTTTAGAAGGTTAGGCTGAGTAATTTACATGGGGACCCAGAAAGAACACTTTTGGTTCCTAGTAATTCCAAGAGCTTTTTCTGTTTAGAGCCAGAAGATATGTGAGGAATTTCCGGGCCATTTGTAGGAAGGTGAGCTTTTGGGGTATGGGAAAAAATATCTCACATGAACTGTAAGTCCTGTAACATAGGGGGACATGGGAAACATAGAAGCCCCAATAAACAAGATCCCAAGTCCTGGGTAGTGGACTGTGATAATGAGTGATGAAGTTTGTGAAGTGAAGTGAAGTTGTTAGAGTTTGTTGCAGAAATCACATCCAGAAAGCGCACACAGATAACTGATTCAGCAGGATTCATTAACTTCTTTATACACGTGAAGTAAATTTACAGTACCAACAGCAGATTCTTCCAGTGTGACAGCAGTTACAGGGCAAAACACAAGCAGAGGAGAGAACAGCAGAGAACAGTTTCAGTTTTGATTCAGAGCTGCAGGCAAGTTTGCAGCTTCAAAGCTCAGAGCTTAATACAGAACCATGTCCAGGGTCCTTCCAGTTTCAGTTTCCAAAGAGTCCCCATTGGCTGACTTAGTTGCTATTCCTATTCATTGGTTGACCTTGTTACCATGTCTCTGCCAGTTCATGAATATTCTGACAAAAGTCAAGTAGAAAAATTGTCCGAGCACAAATTTGTATGCTGGTCTCTGATTCAGTTTCTGGCATCACTATTTTAGCAATGGAAAGAAATACTGCTTCAAATGCTGGAGGAGCTGCTATCAGATCCTGTCAGCAGTTTGGCGAGCAAGATGGATCAATGGCCTAATTGGATAGAATCCAGAGAACTGCATATTTTTCATCAGAAGATTGAGAAATGGAGAGAGGAGTGAAGTCAAGACAAATGCTTCATTTAGATCACCAAAATGATTGTGTCCATTGGGCAAAATTTAGGAAGAATTTCTGTTATGGTTTGGTGTAATGATTAAAAGCATTGGGTTAGAAGCCAAAGGATTGAGGCTACTCGTACCTCAGTCCTAAAGCCAGTGGGGTGACTTTGGGCCAGTCCCTTTCTCTCCACCCTAGGGAGGTCAGCACAAGCCAGTTTCAAAAATGTTGCAATGAGAACTTGTCCCAGAAGTCAACATTGATCCATAGCATGAAAAAGAGGGGAGGGAACAATATAACGGCTAGTTACAATTGCTCTGATCTGGATGGCACTTGGAACAGCCATGCCAAGGTAGTACTACTATTATGGCCATAAATATCTCCGTTCATGGGCATTATATTTTTTACTAACTGTGAAATACTGATATTTTTTAAATAAACAGGTTCCCATATTCCTTGACCTATAGCAGCAGTGTTCAGAAAGACACACACACACACACACACACACACACACGGTCTATTCATGAATTTTTCTCTCTGCTGTTTAGTCTGAAATGGCAGCACTTTGTAGCAGAAAATCCACATTTTAAAATATATATATATATTGTTTTTTTGTAGAGTGTCAGTAATATTTTTGAAGTTAGCCTGTCTAAGCACATCGGACAGTGGACAAAGTGAGGCTCGTGTTGTCCCTCCAAAAGATTGGATCACACTGTTGTGAATGTTTGTGAATGTTTGCTCACCCTTTCAGACAGCAGGTTTCCTCTCTCTGGCTGCTGTCTGTGGTGCTGATTTTTTTCCATCTCTCCTTCCCTTCTTCCTTAAAGGGCTACCAGATTCCGAAGGGTTGGAGTGTGATGTATAGTATTCGAGATACACACGAGACTGCCAGCATCTACCAGAGTCCCCCCGATACTTTTGATCCAGAGAGGTTTTGGGTATCGCTGGAAGATCAGGAGGAGAACAAAACTTCAGCCTCCCTCCGGTTTCACTACATTCCCTTTGGTGGCGGAGTCCGCAATTGCATAGGCAAAGAACTGGCCAAGGCGATTCTCAAGATGCTTGCCGTTGAATTGGTCAGCACAGCCAGCTGGGAATTGGCCACAGCTCATTTCCCCAAAATGCAGACCGTGCCTATTGTGCATCCTGTAGACGACCTTCAAGTCTATTTCCATTCTCTGAAGGCTGGCCATGAAAGCAGCAGTGGAACAGGCAAAGTCAACGCCTGAATGCATAGACATCTCCATTACGTCTCTAGCTTAGGAATAGACTAGGACAGGCCTCTGGGGCAAAACACCACTTTCCTTTCAGCGCAAGCCCCTTCAACCTGCCTCTTTGTTTTGGAGTAAGAGAAAAGGATGGACTCACTGCACTCTCCCTTAAAGGCCTGTGCATTTGTTCTTTGGACAGATATGCATCAGTTGGTCTTCTCTCGTCTTTAGTTGCATTTTTTGTTTGGTAACAAAGTGCATAACCATTTTGTATTGTGGTTAAGAGGAGACTTACGCCAAAGAGAAATGTCTTGGGAAAAAGTGGCGATGTTAGTTCTACACGAGGATTAAGGATATGTAGCTCAAAATTGGATGCAGTGAAAATGTTGGGAATCCATGATCTAGTCTGCCCTATGGAGTTTCTTCTGGACCCCTCACAACTTTACAACAAGACTGCTGCTCCATTGCTTCCTTACAAGGTGGCTTTGCTTTATTCCTGATGGGAGGGAACCTTCATAGCTGTGTTGCCTTAAGCATGGAAAATGTTCCAAGTACAATTCAGAAGGGCCGTCAGAAAGGAAAGGGACTGACAAAGCAAGAACCAACAAAAGAAACGGAATATCAAAGAGATCAGGAACGGACTTTGCTTCAGGATGTGCTTTTTGTACGTTGTAGACAATGAATGTGACCACGTTCTGCATTGTAAAGAAGGCGACGACAAGATAGGTCTGGAACAGATTTTATCTTCCAGTTTCTGTTATGACTCCCAAAGTACAGTATTAATGGGTGTGACTTGCAGTGGTTCTCCATGGTTTCAGCTTGGAGTCTTTCCTAGATGAAGACAGGTGGAGATGAACAGGAGACGTTGTGCTTCTATGGCACATGTACAATTGAACTGTGAGCCGCCTCGATCATGACACAAAAGCCTCACTCTATTTTAATTAAGCAAGCTACTCATGGGTTAGGGTACCACGTTGTCAAGCAAACTATGGATGGAATGCCTTAGGTCTGGTTCATAATCTTATGTGCTTTTTTATTCTTTCTCCTTTGGGTCCTGCAAAATGAAAAAGCATTATAGTTGAAGGGATAAGAGGTGGTTCGTTTCTGAGATTTGACCTGGAATGGCTTACTGACGTATCCAGTTTCCAAAGGGGTAGCTATATTAGCTCTTGTAGTAAGAATAAGCGAGAGTCTTATAAAAGACTAACATGATTTCTTATAGCATGTGCAGTTATGGGTTAGTTGTGGATGTATTGCCACCTGTGCACATGTGTAATTGATAAATCAAGGTTAATTCCATGCATCTGATGATGTCTCTAGGATGTAAATTAAGCCAGGGTAGGGAACTTAGAGTCCTCAAATGTTGTTCAGCTATCTGCGAGCCCAAACCATCAAGGCCTGTGGTGAGGGATCCTGGGAATCCTAGTTGAGCAAAATCTAGTTCCCCACTCCTGCTTACATTGTACTGAAATGTTTAGCCTTTCAATTTGCTGCCTTGTAAGATATGTTGAGGTTTTAATCACTAGCATTTTTAACCAGCAACTAGAATTTTTGTGGGATTGTATATTTGAGGAATACCCATTTGGGGGGAAAATAAAATTACCATTAATACCTATATCAATCCTCTCTAACAGTTTAAGAAAGCACTTTGTAATTCCTGCAGAATGACACGTACTTCTCTTGAGCTAGAATTGGCTTTAAAAAGCTATGGGGTGCATTATTACAGAAGAAGCGGACTGTGTGTGGATAATTCCTCTCTCTGATCCAGATGGTGGGGACTTGCCAAGAAAAGGGGCTTTCAATCACAAGTTGCCAAGGAAAGGTTATTGCTTTTCTTAAAAAAACCTGCAGCAGCTGGAAGATAGAGACTTAGAGCATTGAGCAAAAGTTGGCCAAAGCTAGCAAATATGATTGACAGTAGGCCGAGATAATGCAAATGATAACATCGGTTTGGAGACCTGTATCCACTTGACTTGCAACCAGATCATCTGGAGATTGGGTAGGCATTGGGTAAGCCCAAGTAAAGACAAATCAGAAACTCAGTTGTAATACAAGCCCCCAATGCTAGGAATCCTTTGAGACCTAAATGTAAGAATTTGATACAGCAAGGAGAAAGTTAGGATCAAGTTATCACTTCACCTCTCCATATGCAGCATTTTTCCAGGTGTCTGTCTGTCTGTCTGTCTCTGTGATATAGATGTTTTTCACTGTATGAGCTCCCCCTACTTGTGAGAATGATATGGTGCAGCCCAAACACAGCTTTTTAAATTAACTTCAGCTTTCTACATGGTTGGATTCAAACTCACATTATGCCATTGTGCTGATAATGGATGAGAATTATAGCCAGCTGTGCCTGTCTTAAAGTGGGTGCATATCATCAAAAGGAATATCCTTGAACAGCATGTTTAATGCCCCAGACCATTATTTGACCTTCTCTTTGCCCTTCCAACTTACCAAAACCAAGTTGTTGACCTCTTGAAAATCAGCAATAGGTTTTTCTGCCTTTTATTTATTTTTTAAATGAACTCAGTTGCATGATATTGCTATATCTACTTGGTGTCATCTGCGACAACCATTATCCAGCACAGCTCCTGATCAGCAAAAGTTGCTTGTCCTGTCACACAAGTGTAGGGATGCATCAGATGGATTGTGATAATTGTGTATTTCAGCTACCCTTTCTTGGTCACGAGACTGCCAAAATTTTAATTATCACCATCCAGAATAACTCTGCTGTAGACAACTCGTCACTAAATAAAATTCCTATAAAAGATGTGGGAGAAAAGGTCTTTCAGAAATAAATCTGGCCAAAACTTCCTTTTTGCTCTGCATTTAAGATATTTATTGCCCGGTGCAAAGCCTGATAGGGGAAATGGCTCTCTGCTAAATGGTTGGCCAGAGAAATATTAAACCTGAGGAGAGCTCAGAATCCAAAGGAGCGGAGCTTCGGGATGGGGCTGTTTTTCCTCAAATAGAGCTGAAGGCTTTTCTAAACCAAGAGCTGTCTGGTGGGACATGCTGCCAAATACTTAAAACACCTCACCTTGTGAACTGTAATGCCAAGAGATTGAGAGCTGGATATCTCATTAACGTAGTCCATTAACGTAGTTGCAAAGAAGCAGCAATTTACTCAGCAATTACCTTACTGAACACTGGAAAAGCTGCCATTTAATTTATGTCGTCATTTAAACAAAGAGAAGTAAGGCAGATCTATTTGCCCTGCTGCATGGACATGGAACTCAAAGATAACCTCAAGCAGTTAAAACAACAAAATTAAATATCTGGACGGTGTAGCATCTGCAGAAGGTGTTGGGTATGTTTTAAGGGGGTGGGGGGAAAGGCTGGAGTTTGTAGAGCACCACCTAGAGGGTTGGAGGGGAAGGACACCCAAATAGCTTCTTGGCACCTAAATTGGATTTTCTACCAACTGTCTTTCCAATGTTTTAAACAGCATTTTTCATCACCCCTAAGTTAGTCCTTTAGGACATGTTCTTTTAACTGACTACAGTGTTTCAATAGTTTAGAGAGTGCCAGTAGTGAAACCTTGCTCATGTTTCCGCTATTTCTTATTTTAGAAAGCCAGGTTGGTGTAGTGGTTAAAGCATCAGGCTAGTAATTATGAGATCTAGTCCTATCTCAAGAGAGAGAGCTAGCAGTGGGACCATGGGCCATTCACTCTCCCCAAGCCTTAGGAAGGAAGGGGGGAAAAGAACTACTGAAAAAACATGCCAAGGAAACTGCATGGACCCATCCAGGTCTCTGATAATCAGATACGATTGAGGGGGAAGAGATTCTTTGGCTAATTGAAATCTTCCTTTAATTCAAAATTAAATTTGGAAAATTGGAAGCTCTGGCCGTGGAACTAAGCTATTCCCAATGAGCATTCAAATCAGCTGCTTGAAGAACTCTCAATAGGCATCATCACCTGAGTGGACAGAATTGTACCCAAACTATGTGTCTGGACTGGCATTGCTTCAGCAATTAATGTTTGTTATTTTGCGCACTCAAGATATCAGCTGCGTGCAAAGTGGTGCTTTCTGCCCCTGTTCCTCTCACTCCTCCAAGTAGAGAGATGTACTGGCTTTTCCACAAAACAGGAAATATGCAGTTATCCTCTATTGTCCCTGAACTGGATGGACTTGGTTGTGTGATGTGCCTACAAATCTGTCCATAAAGAAATGTTGCATGTCAAAAAGAGACAATTTCAGTTGCACGCTCATGTCCACCATCTTGAATTTTTTACACGCCTGTCCACAAGAGGGCGCCTCGTGGCAGGGGAAGCCTTATTTATCTAGGTAGCAGCTGTCATCATTTTTTATTAATCTTACTGCAATTTTACTTTAATTTAAAAAAAAAACCAACTACCCAAATAGACGTGAAATGCATTGGGTACGCAGTTAAGCCATATTCTTTTAGGGGCTTCCTAAAACACAAGCAATCTTTGGAGAATAGTTGCCCTGATGCAGATACATTTGCAGGGAACCAGAACATGTAAAGACTTCAAATTCTCTTCCAAATTATCAGTAATGAATATGGTTATATTTAGGAGGTTTGCAGGAAAAGTAGATGCTTAAAGGTTTTGGTTTCAAATTCATGAGGTTCAAAGTGAAATATGCAAAGTAAAAGCAAAGGTCCTATTTAAAAGTCAGGCTGGTTTCAATGGACAATAAGCTTTATTTCAGCCCTGCTTCTAATCCTTTATAGATGTTTGACTGGCAGTTCCTCCCCAGTTATTGTTGAGATCACCATATCATCAGGTCACCAGGGTGATTCTCCTATGCAATTTTTAAACATTTGTGTTTTACTTATAGATAATGGAACAATATTTTTATCTAAAGTGAAATATCATAGCAAAGTATACAAGCTTCTCTGTTTTGCAATTACCAAATCTAAGACATGGTACCTGTCAATGGTTTCTTTAGTTTCAGCTTTCAAAAAATTAGTTTTTAAGGTTAAAAAAGAATTTTTAAAAATCTTATACGAATCTTTAAAACCCAAATGTTTCTGTTGTGCAGTTGTGGTACTTTACTCCTTTCACAAAGTTGTTTATCAGTATTTACAGATTCCCTGCCA